ATCTGAATTTTGACCCATCTGCGGCTGTTCCCACGCTACAGAAGTCAATCTAATGTCTGACTTTTGTAGAAGGGGAATGATGGAAAACTTTCCTTGGTCAGTGTATTCTGACAGTAAAGAATCCTGCTGTCAGAATACAATGGCACAGCAGGAGGGGATTGCTCTATCCACCTCCAATGTGTGGATGGAAGAATGCATTTTTTTTTGTTCAGCCAAAAAAAACAAATTAATGATGGCCAATCTTAATAAACCTGCACATATCTTAAACTCTTCTAGGTGCCCTAAATCCTACGGCGCTGTAAAATGCAAAACTTCATGATACTATTAAGGATTGGCCTGCTCCCAGGGGCCAAGCCAATATATATTCGTTTTGGTCCATAATAAAAGTGCACTCTTACTATAAAAAAAACCTTAAAAAACTTTTATCCACCTTTTTTCAACTCAAGCCCCCTTGCCTTTTGTAGATGCTTTAGGATAAATTTTAATTTGTCATTTTATACTGACCTTTACATATATTTGCACATATTAATTAAGTTGCCTGTAAGCCTTTCTTTTTCCAAACTGAACAGTGTAAGTGCAATCCCTTTAATTAATTTAATTGCCCAACTTTGGTACCTCTCCAAAACTCTGTGATATGCTTACATTGTGGTGCTCCAAAACCCAATCTTCAAGGTGTGATTTTGTTTGGTTTTGTAGCAGCTACTTGACATTGAGTGTGTAACGTATTCTTTTTGATCAAAAAATAATCTATACACTAGAAGGTTCTCATTACAAAAGACAGTTCTTTACAACAATTCACAGTGTAAAAAATAACAGAGAAAAAACATTTCACTTCTATGGTTCTTGTTGGCATTCCAAGATTGTGAGATGATCTTGGCAGTCAAGAAATGCTGAAGTCCATAAACATGGACAATTAATCTTAGAAGCACATATTTTTTACTGCATGCTTTTTAGGAGGGCAATAAAGTGAGTGGAGGTAAATGGGGATTTAAAAAGTAAAGAGAAAGTGCAAAAAAAAAATTAAAATGGGAGGGCAGAGCTGTGGAAAACATGGGGAGAAAACAAATTAGGTTTCTCCTCCAACCAACTTCAACCTTCCAGCAGTGGTGAGGTTACCCTTGTGCAGAATGTGGAGGATCCCTACATAGAAATGTTCTGTACGTAAGGGTATTGGTAAACTCAGTCTAGTAGAATCACATCTGCCAAAATTTCTCATAGCTGCCCCTACTGGTATAGACAAGGTATTTCATTGTCTGATGGTATTGATTCTGGCTATTCACATGGTGCTCCACAATGCAACTTCTGAATGCAATAATCAAAGAAAACATTACTGAGCAGGTTTTCATATGGATAGTGCCTATAAATTTGGGGGCTATCCTCTGAATCTCCAATCAAATGGGCCAGAGTGCTGAGCAGGACCAAGAAAAGCGTAAGATGTGCCCTGGGGTGCATCCACATCCTCAACATGCTGCAGGAATTATTTGGAACATTTTGTGGAATACTTGAAGGGTTTTGTACCATCACATGGGTATATTAAAACTGGATTCCTGAGATTTAGGACAAACCACTGTTTTGTGTGTGTAATAGATTATTTTGTCAGTCAGATGTGAATTTTAATTGTAAGTCATGTTCCCATGTTCCATGTTAAGAAATAATTGGGTGTAAAGTGAAGAAGGGAAGGTTGGAGAATATTTTCTTATTATATAACTAAATTTAGTTAAATATATTTGGTAAGAAAAGAAAATACATTTTGGTAGCATTTTTGTAGCTTGTAGAAGGTGTGCAACCCATTTTTAAAATATAGCTTTTCAAACAAACTAGAAAAGCTCAGGGTGAATAATTCCATATATGAAGAAAACGAAATGTCAAAAATCCGTTCTCCTGACTAGCGCTCACAAAAAAAAAAAAAAGGAAAAAAAAGGTGAGACACTGTAGGGGTTGTCAGCAACAATTGGCTCTGCAGTGTTATAGTATGTCTTAACTATAAAACAACCTTTAATGATTTCTCCATCTCTGCTGGGGACTGTAAGTAATAGTAATGTTAAACCCATAGAAAAACAATAAACTTGTATTATGTCTCTCATATGCACAGTAGGAAAAAGAAACCACACTGTTTTAAACAACATAACAAGAGGGCATGACTTTATATCATGAGCAGCCTTATATATTTACAGCTTAGCCTCAATTTTTTATTCTTGCTAAGTAATTTCCCTTTAAATGCTCCATAGGAGGTTATTTATTTTACTCTTTAACATCATACTGTTTCATTCAAAATAACTAACACTGCTGTGAAACTGTTGTCAGAATGTCTATTTGAGATTTTTCTTTTTATATTGGTCGCACATTTATTTTTTTAATTTACTATTGTTTTCTTTTGATAATATTTTGTTGTCTTTTTGGGGTCAGATCCATTCACCCTATTTTTTTTAAATGGTTTTTCAATTTAAGGTGTTGCCTAATGAAAATGAACACCAAACAATGCTTTAACAGTTTGAGGGATGCTTGAATCAAATAAGGAGAATAATTGATTATTGTGCTTGGTGAATAACATATCTATTCGTCTTACAAAAGGACTTTCAAGAAACATTGAAATTCCTATTGATTCAGTCTGCATATCCTACAGCTCCCATCTGTCTGCTACTGATGATGGCAGACTGAACGCTGGACCACTAAAATAACTGACAAAATAAGGAATATACATTTAGCTCTTTTAACTACTTCAATACTGGACACTTTCACCCCCTTCCTGCCCAAGCCAATTTTTATCTTTCATAGCCGTCACATTTTGAATGACAATTGCGCATTCATGCAACACTACCTATATGACATTTTTATAATGTTTTGGGGACAGATAGAGCTTTATTTTAGTGGTATTTAATCAGCAATGGGTTTTTAAATTTTTAAATGAAAAAACTTTACATTTTGGAAAAAAATGTTTTAGTTTCTGTTATAAAATTTAGTAAATAACTAATTTTTCTCTGATTTTTCTGTAGTAGAGTGACAGTTTTGTTTTGTAGTAGTACAGTTTTGTTGTCCCGCTCTGGGGCAGAGTAATCTGAGATAGAGTTTTACATGGATTTTAAGGGCCCATGTACACAGGACATTTGCTTTCTCCTCTGAACAGCAGAACTTCTGGCAGGAGAAAAGCTGCTTTAAAAACTTGCCTAAAGTTGTGTATTGCACACATGTTTAAGCACGTCTTAGCGTGTCAGGCGTGTAAGTGTTAATGGATTCCATTAGCCACTTGTCCTCAGGAAGGTTTTACCCCCTTCATGACCAGGGCTACTTTAACTGGCAATTGTGAATTGTGTGGTCATGCAACACTGTACCAAAATTAAATGTATATCAGTTTTCTCACACAAATAGAGCTTTATTTTGGTGATATTTGATCACCACTGGGTTTTTTTTTTTATTATATAAAAGAAAAAAGACCCACAATTTTTTCTACATTCTGTTATAAAACATATCCAATAAAAAAAAAATCAAAAAATCTAATTTCTTCATATAGTTAGGACAAAATGTATTCTGCTACATGTCTTTGGTAAGAAAAAATCCCAATACATGTACATTAATTAGTTTGTGAGAAAGTTATGTCTGCAAACTATGGTATATATAATGAAATTTACTCAGCTATGATGCAATACTAGTAATGGCAGTGATCGGCAACTTATAGTGGGACAGTGATAAGATAGCAGGCAATCTGGCTCTAGCTGATGCTAGCTGGGAGGTACACTAACTAACATAACTAACACTGACATCAATAGTGATACTAATACAGTAATCAGTGCTAATACTGTACATTGTCACTGTTCTAAAGTCACTGGCTGGGAAGGGGTTAACATCTAGGGGCAATCAAACGGCCTAGCAATGTGTAATGTGTGTAATGCATGCTGCTTTTACTTCACTATCTGGCTGCTTTTTCGCCCTGTTTGCAGGGAGAAGAAACAGCCTGATCACTGTTCCCTGGGAGTTCTGTGTTTTTGTAAACACAGAGCCCTGTGTGTGATTGGACACAGCTGATCAGCTGACTTTAGCCAAAATCATTTACTGAAATCAGCTGCCAAATTAGTGCTGTTTCTGATCACATGCGCACTCCCCAAATCCGGAATTAGGTTGATCACATATATGTACATGATCATGCCTGCACCTGTCACACTGTATTTACACACTTGGTTCACACTATATTTACTGTAAGCGATCAGCAGGTCGTTAATTTATTCAGGCCATTGAAATGCATTAACACTCACACTTGCTTAAACATGCCTAGTGTTTAGGCAAATTTAGACTCGTTTACACACATTTAGGCACCAAGCATTTTTTTCTGCACAAAAGCTCCACTCCTGAATAAGCTTGTAATTTTGTGTTCAGCCTTGTAAACGCTGCTCTTCTAATACACCTGTAAAAGCCTATGTGTGCATGGTCACATAGGCTCACATAGAGGTAATTTTACAGACTGAAAAAAATCACATCAACTGCCTGTAAAAGCAGCCTTTTTTAAGCACAGTGTATGAGCCTTTATTAACCACTTGTCTATAGGGCACTTATACCCCCTTTCTGCCCAGGCCAATTTCCAGCTTTCAGCGCTGTCACAATTTGAATGACAATTGCGCGGTCATGCAACATTGTACCCATATGAAATTTTTATCATTTTTTTGAGACAGATAGAGCTTTATTTTGGTGGTATTTAATCACCTCTGGGTTTTTTATTTTTTCTTAAACAGACCAAAAACCACTGAAAATTTTGAAAAAAAAACTTTTTTTCTTAGTTTTTGTTATACAATTTTGTAAATAAGTGATTTTTCTCCTTCACTAATGTGCGCTAATGAGGCTGCAGTGATGGGCACTGATAGGCTGCACTGATGGACACTGATAGGTGGTACTGATGGGAACTGATGAGGAGGCACTGGTAGGTTGCACTGATGGGTATTGACAGGCATCACTGATGGGCACTGAAAGGCAGCACTGATACATGACCCTGATACATGACCCTGATACATGACCCTGATAGGCGGCACTGACTGGCAGCACTGATAGGTGGCACTGATTGGCAGCACTGACTGGCACTGATGGGTGACATTGAAAGGCAGCTCAGATGGGCACTGATATATGGCATTGATGTACACTGGTATACATGGATGTGGCACTGATGGGCACTGGCACGTGGCACTGATGGGCACTGACTGCTGGCACTGATGAGCACTGACAGGTGGCACTTCTGGGGCCACACTGATCATCAGGGCACACTGATCATCAGTGATGATCAGTGTACATGTCCCCTCCGCGGAAAGCCGATTGCAGACTCTCCTCTCCTCTCGAGCTGTCAGCGTGACAGCTCGAGAGGAGAGAAATGCCGATTAACCGGCATTTCCGTGTTTACATGTGATCAGCTGTGATTGGAAACAGCTGATCACATGACCGAGCCGACATCTTCGGCTCTTTCCGTGATCCGCTGTGTCCGAGGGACACAGCGGACCGGCGATTGCCGAGCTGCGTGCTCCCTGAGCCTCGCATGCGCAGTGAGAATGGGAGGACGTCATATGACGTCCTCCCAGAACAAGAGAACCACCGTGCGCCTGTCATTGTACTATAGGGCGGGCGGAAGGTGGTTAAGAGACAAAAAAGTTAACTTCTAGTCTTAACTTTTAAGGAGGTATAGTAATAGGGATTTTTTTAATAACATATTTAAACTGTATAAATAAAAGCTGACCATTATAAGTACCCTGCCAATGTTAAAATTGAATTAAACTCTGCTATATATTTTTTCATGAGTTCCCAGGAGGTTTATGCCATAATATGCACCGCATATTGCTTGTCAAACAAAACCCTCTAGCTGGTCCCTGGAGCTTCCACCTTCTCCCAGCCTTCTTCTGGGTTCACTCTGGTTGCTGGAATGGTGGGGCCGTGATGTCACTGCTGTACATGCACATTGGAGTCACTTCGTCACAGCACAGTGAACTGCTGCAAATGTACTGTAATCTGTGCATGCATGGCTTCATGAACTTTACCACTTACAGGAAAGGAGAAGCATTTATGACAGAAGAGATCACTAGAATCTCTTTTCATTTTTAATTTGTTTTAGTTTAATTCCACTTTAAATTGTTTTGTCCAACCTCCTCTAACTTAAACATTTGCTAGATAACTTGCCCTTTTAAAATATGTGTAAGAAACCTATTTTAGAGGTGAGACTAGAAAAACAGCTTTCAACAGACTATGTAATTTTTCATTTTCATTTTGCCCATAGTTACACTTTAAAGGACGCTTATCTTGTTCCAACCTTGTTAACTATGTATATGCATGGGCATCGAACCTAGGTCTCTTTCTTATACTATAATTTTTTTTAATATTAGGCCTATTGGGCCTGTTGAGCCCTAATTGTTTAATGGGAAATATTAAGTTGGGCTGGTCTTGATCAACATCTCAGTGCACTAATACCTGCCAGTTGCTAAATGGATGTCAGTAACCTGTATCAGAATTAATGTGGTCAGGTGATTGTGGATACTTAACTGGTCATCTTATTCATAATGTGATATTAATTTTGGGTTTCAGCTATAAAGTCGTTTAAAAATTTTGCTTAGGTCATAGGTTTTTAAGAGTTTTTAGGACACTGGCAACATTTTTTCTTAGATCACTGCACATTGGGGATCTGTCCTCTGTGGTAAATTGCCTATGGTAAGTGTTTGGACCGTGTAAGTGAGCAATATTAGGCCCACTGGAGTTAAATAGCATTACACATGTACAAAATGTACTAGGACATCTGCTACTGCTGGGGTGGTCTAATAAATGCAGTGGACGGGCTGATTTTGCAACCTTATGCCAGAAAAGCTTTAAAAATGTTCTTCTAAAAACTGCACAAATCATGCCCAAAGTTCAGAAGATATGAGGATGGAATGAGGGAGTTCTACATTTACAATATATTGTAACATTTCCCTACCGCCATGCTATCCTATCTAAACTAGATAGAAAAAAATATAGCAGTGCCAATGGGAATTTAGACTGTAGGACAGTATGAAGCTTTTTTAAATTTTTTATTCTAAAGTTTATGTAGAAACATGATCTGTTCATACAATTTATCTGTGCTGTGAAAATAACAATATGATGTGAAACAACTATATGTGGTATGCAGTCAAGACTACCATCCTGTTTCTATCAGCAATAAGTAGCCAGGTAAAGACAGATTTGCCTGATGTCCATAAAAGAAAATTATGGGGTTTAGAGATTTATGTATAGGATTTTGTATCCAAAGTTATCGCAGATTGCAAAAAAAAAAAAAAAAACTATGATGTAATGCGTATCTAAAGAACAAAAATGTAATATATTGCAACTTACCAGTACTTAGATGTTGTGGTTGCTGCCGGGCTGAAGAAGAGCAGCCTGTTGATGACCGGGCTGCACAGTAGGAGGTAAGCAGTGACAGTGGCCTAAACAGAGCTAACACAGACTGCGGCCACCGAACACCTGTCAGCACACTGTTACAGCTCAGCAGTGGAATGAGCTGTCTCTTTGCTGGATGGGCTGTCTCTTTGCTGGGTGAGCTGTCTCTTTGCTGGATGGACTGTTTCTTTGGTGGACTGGCTGTCTCTTTGCTGGGTGGGCTGTCTCTTTGCTGGATGGGGGTGTCTCATTGCTGAATGGGCTGTCTCTTTGCTGAACGGGCTGTCTCTTTGCTGGATGGGGCTGTCTCTTTACTGGATGGGCTGTCTCTTTATTGGTTGAGCTCTTTCTTTGCTGGATGTGCTATCTGTTTGCTGGGTGGGCTGTCTCTTTACTGGTTGAGCTGTCTCTTTACTGGATGGGCTGTCTCTTTGCTAGACTGGGTGTCTCTGTGATGGATGGGCTGTCTCTGTGCTTGATGAGCTGTGTCTTTGCTGTACAAGCTGCGTCTTTGCTGGGCAGGATGTCTCTTTGCTGGACGAGCTGTCTCTTTGCTGGACGGACTGTCTCTTTGCTGGGTGACCTGTCTCTTTGCTGCATGGGCTGTCTCTTTGCTGGACAGGCTGTCTCTTTACTGGATGGGGCTTTCTCTTTGCTGGACGGAGCTGTCTCTGTGCTGGACTGGCTGTCTCTTTGCTGAACAGGCTGTCTCTTTGCTGATCGGGCTGTATCTTTGCTGGATGGGCTGTCTCTTTGCTTAACGGGCTGTCTCTTTTCTGGACAGGCTGTCTCTTTGCTTGACAGGCTGTCTATTTGCTGGACAGGTGGTCTCTTTGCTGGATGGGGCTGTCTCTTTGCTGGACAGGCTGTTTCTTTACTGAATGGGCTGTCTCTTTGCTGGATGAGCTGTCTCTTTGCTGGATGGGCTGTCTCTTTGCTGGACGAGCTGTCTCTTTGCTCGACGGGTTGTCTCTTTGCTGGATGGGCTGTCTCTTTGTTGGATTAGCTGTCTCATTGCTGGATGGGCTGTCCCTTTTCTGTTTGGGATGTATCTTTGCTATATGGGGATGTCTGTTTATGGATTGGGCTCTTTCTTTGATATATGGGGATGTCTGTTTGCTGGATTGGACTGTCTCTTTGTTATATGGGGATGTCTCTTTATTGGATTGGGATGTCTTTGAATATATAGAGGGCATTGTGATTAGATCTCTAGGTGCACTGTAATGTAAAGGAGCACTGTGATATAAAGGGGACTGGCCTGTAAAGGGGCACTGTAATCAATACAGTGCCCCTTCACAGTGCAGTCCCCCCTTTATATCACAGTGCTCCTTTACATTACAGTGCGGAGGACCGACTCCATGAATATTCCATCACCAACCTCCCCCCTCGCGAACTCCCTTGCGACTGCCCCCCCGGAAAAATTGACTGCTCAGTCTAAAATGCCCGGGCCTATTTTTTTTCCCAGCCTTGGCCTGATGAAGACCCAATTCAGTAAGGCTGCATATGTGAATACACTCGGGTCAGTGAACTCTTACACATTTCCCTGTATTGCATGTTCTTAATACAGTCAAACACATGAGCAAAGATGACAGAAGATAATTTACCTGTTTCATCACCCAAGCTATAGTCATCAAAAAATCATTATTATTATTGAAGATCTCCATCTGGTTCACAGAAAGGGTAATTAATCAAGAAACTTTTTCCAGTTATATAATAACTATATAAGGTATTTTAGCTTTACCTATTTTGTGTCAGCCATAAGATAGATACACCCCATGTCAGCATAAGCATCTCCATATTTAGGCAAAAAAGTAAACGTAGTCATACTGTACTTAGTAGAGAAGGGATTTATCTGCATTGTGGCGTACTGTAGCTCATGATTTCAAAATGTGTTGTTCTTTTTGTATAGAGGCAGTGGGGTCGTTTTGAGATGGTCTAAAGTCAAACTATACACATTTAATACTGTGCTATCTAACGCCACACTTAACATACACCTTTTTTTTTATTTTGAAAGGCTTGTAGTAGGATTATAACTGCTGCTAGGTTTTTATTGTTGGTATTACTTCATTTAAAATTATGAGAAATCCAACATTTTTCAGATGTCACCAAAGCAAGAAAAGAGGGGAAATCTACCAATAGGGACACCTGGAGACAGCTTCCTGAAGTGGTATTAAACGCAAACATTTAATATATTGCAGCTGAACACTTCTTAGATGTGATAGCTGCATTCATTTTCTAACATTGAATACTACTCCCCTCCCCTCTTCCCGACTGACAATGCTGCTGTCAGCTGTGCCTCATCCAGAGTGGGGGCACTCTAATACAAGAAGTGTGTTACTGGCCAGGCCACCAGGTGAAAACTGAAGGAAAAAAGCCAAAGAAAATGAATGCAACCACATCTAATGATGGGTAAGCTGCTTTTTCATACATTTTTGGTTTTTAATACCACTTTAACAGAGCACTTTCCCTCACTTTGGAGTGATTTGCATCCACGTTTTGTTGTGTTTTCAGAACAAGACATTAAAGGTAATCTCCCTAATAGAGTTTGGGCTTACTGGCGTTAGGTATATTTTAAGAATTTCAAATCTTGTACAAAATATGATCAGTGGGTAATTTTTGTACTTTTAAGAACTTGTACAGGAATCGGTAAGGGATCAGAAATGTTTCAGCGCTATGTCTAGAACTATTCACCACTTAATCACTTCAAGTCAAGACACTTTCACCCCCTTCCTGCCCAGGCCAATTTTCAGCTTTCAGCGCTATCACACTTTGAATGACAATTGCACGGTCATGCAACACTGTACCCATATGAATTTTTTAGCATTTTTTTGAGACAGATAAAGCTTTATTTTGGTGGTATTTATTCACCACTGGGATTTTTACTTTTTTTCCTATATAAATGAAAAAGTCCAAAAATTTTGAAAAAAAGTGTTTTTTCTAATATTTCATCAAAAATCTTGGCCAAAATGTATCCAGTTATCTTTTTAGTAAAAAAAATAATCCAATTTTGTTTATAACCAAAAATTATAATTTTTAAAAAAGTTTACATTTTTATTTTATTTTTTTGTATTATTATTTATGTGTTTTTTTTTAACATACTGTCACTCTA